AAATAAAATAAAATAAAATAAAATAAAATAAAATAAAATAAAATAAAATAAAATAAAATAAAATAAAATAAAATAAAATAAAATAAAATAAAATAAAATAAAATAAAATAAAATAAAATAAAATAAAGTAAAATAAAGTAAAATAAAATAAAATAAAATAAATCATACAAAAATAAATTAAATTAATGCAAAATAAAATAAAAGAAAACATAAATTTAAAAGTAAACTAGTTTAAGCAAAAAATTTGAAATTAATAAAATTAATAAAAAAAAACACATTCGAAACGAATTTCAAAGAATTTTGATTTGATTGAAATTTTATTTTTCTTCAAAACTTCCTCGAACGACGCGCAATTTTATGTGCCCTGTCGCACTGTTTCACTGCCACAACGTTCCGTCTCTATTCACTCACTAACTCATTCTCCACGCTCACTTGCATTACTCCGCATGCTCCAGGGATGCTGTTCGTCGCCACTCGGCTGCATGATGCGTAGGAAAGTCACTGAAAGTGAATTTAGCCGCGTACCAACAGACGCATTGAGGTAGTGCGGCACATTCCTTGTGGTTGCGTGCACGTGCTCGCATCAGTCAAGCGGTTAGTAACTGTGGCCAAAGCGTCGGCTACAAATAATAGCAGCAACAACACATTAAATGAAAGGTGGCAACAACAACAGCAATAGTGATTATTAAGTATATAGAGCAAAAACAAATGCAAGACTAAGTATGTTAGCAAAATTTCAACGACGCGCTTTTCATTGCAGTGGTACGGTATGTACAAGTAGTAGCATACTTGTAGGCGTTCCGACTGTGTGTTTGTGTGCTTGGTTTTGGTTGCAACTACGCGCGAACTTGTCACCGTGAACTAAAGTGATTTATTGCGATTCGCTTCGCATTTGTGTTGATATGAGAGTGTGCAACATTTCTATGTATGTACATACATATATACCATGACTGTGAAGTGTGCAGTTAGGGAAGATATTGAAATGATTAGTTACTTGACAGTTGCTGCTTCAACGTGCTTGTGTGTTTAAATTGAAGATAGAGTTCCATTTTTTTTTTTTTTTTTTTCAAAACAGAATCGGATCTTGGAATGAAAAAGTGTATTATTTGTTAATTTACCTAAATTTTTCAATTGTTATAGATTGTTCTTTGAAAATATTTTTTCAATAAATAAAAATTAACTGAGACAAAAGAAACTATTTTTTGTGTTCAAGTGAGTGAAATACTGCAGAGCATTCAGTAATTAAAAAGTAAAATACCTTTTCGAAGCGATAGAAATTTTGTTCTCTTGAGTACTTGGATGTTCTCCATTTAGTAAAATATTATTTTATGTCCAGTGAAAACGCTGCATTATTATGGGTCGTTAAAAAGCTCTTACAGTTCGTCATTTCATCTTCTTCGGTACCAGTCGCTCACGCGAACAGGCCCATAGATCTTCATAGTTATCCATCGCAGACAAATTTCTTCAACACTCAAAAAATTTGAATGCAAGCAGCAACGAGTGTCCCAATACGTGAAGAGCTTTTATTTGTTGCCAGGCATATGCCAGCAACATCTGTGTTTCAGATTTGTAACTCAGATTTAAGAAGTTGTACGACAGTCGCCTGGGCTAAAACCTCGCTTGGTCTCGATTGGAGCGGGGAGCTCATTCCGAGTTTTGATTGAAGTGCAGGTTGTGCCCAACGCCGCAAAGCTAATGCGGGGATCACAAATTTACACATGAGGTCGTAGAGGCAGTTTACCATTTTAGCATAGTACCCAACTTTCAAGAAAAACAAAAAATCACATAAAAAAGCGCTCAAGAAATAAAAAAGAATTTTTTTCAAACGACAGAAGGAATAAAAAAATATTTCTCTAAATTTTTCTTGAGAGCTGTATACTAGACATATGCTATCAAAACAGGCTTTAAAATTGACGAAAATGTTGTAGGTGTAGGTATGTTTGTTTAGGTCTTTATCAGGAGCTGACGAACTGTTTATTCGGTTGCAGATATTCCAGATTTGAAACCAGACAAATAGAAACCAGTCAGTTGGTTCATAAAGAGCACCACTCCTCCACACAACTACAAAACTGCAAAACTATGAACTCGTATCTCGTGGTAATTGCCTTAAACGTTTGGCCCCTTTTTATAGGCTACGGAATGGGCAAAATAAACTGAGATCTCCAGGCAAGCACGCATATGACCTATTTAAGTGAGTTTATCAGCTCATTCAGGAGCCCCGACCTTGAACAGTTCAGCCGGTATTCCATCACCACCTTTGTTTTTAAGCCGCATCATTGCTGTTCTCACCTCATTCCCAAAAATAAGTCTGGGTCTTCACGATCTTTGCAAGAAGTGGCCTCGATTTTTAAATCTTTGGATTGCTATTGGTTTAGATACTGAAAAAATAGCACCGTGCGAAAGTCCATTTTACACACAAACAAATCAATATATTCGCGAAACTAGCTGCCAAAAAGTAACAGTGCGTTTTTCGTTTTTTTTCTTGGCTTTGCAATTTCAAAAAATTAATTAAAAAATTCAGTGCAATGTAAAATAACAATTTGGTTAAAAGATAAATACCCAAATCTGTAGAATTGAAAAAGTTAAAAAATTTTGCGTAAGGGTGTAAGAATAGGTATTGGAAACGTCCGTTTCAAATTTTATCCGCGAATATCCTTCAAAATTTTGAATATTTATTTTAAAAAAAATTTTAATATTTTAAGCACTAATGTACACACGACCACATCTTAGAATTTCGTCCTACTAACTTCATTTTCTTAAAAAAATTAAATTAATTAGAGAATTTCCAATACCTATTCGTCCTTGTGAACCAAAAAAACTTTTTTTTATTCTACAGATTTTTTTCCTTCATTTGCACTGGAGTTTTAAATAATATTTTGAATTTATCCTATTTTTTAAATTTCGCAGTTCTTTTAAAAAAAATATCCGGACGTCAAAGAGAAAAAATATGTAAAGACCCAGTTTTGGTACTGGTATTGTATATTTGGCCTATACAAACTTTCGTGAGTATACTGATTGTTTCGTGGGTTTTGAAGTTTTCGGGTTTATGTCGAACGGTGTTTGTATAAGCAATATGTATTATGAAGAGCTTAAAAGTGATATTTTTTTTATTTCAAATTTCAAAAACCCAAATTTTTAAAAAGGATTATTCAAAAAAAGCATTAGGCTGCCAAAAAATTACGTAAAAAACAGTGCATGAAATCCGAGGAAATTAGGTACGATTAAAACGAAAAAGGATTAAGCCAAGGAATAACTATGAAGAAGAAAGTGAAACGACGCAAAACCTCGTTTTTCATACAGAAATGGTGAAAAAGGAATATTTGCCGCAAAACTCAACAGCAAAGTAAGTGTTGCAGAAAATTGTGGACTTAGCGAACACGACAGCGAGCAAGTTAATCGGTAGTTAAAAAAGGAGAAGCAAAAAGCAAATAAAAGCTAAAAAGAAAAATAAATTTATAAAAATTAAAAAAAAACAACTCAAATACCACTAACAGAAAAGCGGCACGAATACAATTGTGAAAGCAATCTAGCAATTGTATGTAACATTCGGAATGTGTGCGCTCGTGCTTCCATATGTGCGCTTAAATTGGAATTGCGTAATAGCGTAATTCGCACATGTGCCCTCGTTAGCGTTAAGCTAATTGGAAGGGACAGACACGCAAGCATCTGCCATAATCAGCAAAATCGAATACATACAATACATAGTTACAAACAACAACAACAGCAACAAAAAGCAATAAGATTTAAGGCTCAACTTTAACATACGATACAAAAACAAAAATTAAAAAAAAAAACTTCAGCAAAGCAATCGAAAAAAAAATATAAGTTAACCCAAAATGCCATTCGGCCGCAAATCACCGCTGGAGGCGCTCGCCTTACCCGGCGTCATTTTGGCCTACAAATACAGTCAATTTCGGCAAAGACGACGGGAGGCTGCCAGTCGACGTGTAACGGAACGTGAATTGGCTGCTCTGCATCATAAAATCGTAAGTTGATATAGGCAAAAATTTACTTATATAAACACACACACACGCGCATATTTACAAAAGTATTTGAATGCTTATCTACGAATTTCCACTTGCGTAAATTTTAGTAGTAGGCTACTTTTTGGTGCTTAGCTTATACATATGTACGTATAAATTAGCCTTTGTGTATGCCAGGCACGTTGCGTAAAGGATTGCATAAAATACCAATTTAAAAGTGTGCGTTAATTTTCGGGGTTTTGGTTAAGTTAGCCTAAATCGAACCATACGTACATACATACGTAGATTGTAAATACGTGTGAATGTATGTGTGAAGGTTGATCTTTTTCCTCGTTGTGCAGAAATGACACCGCATTTTATGTGTATGCTAACACCATTAAATTACCTTTGCTATACATCGACTTCTTCAGTAGCTTAAGTAACAATACCTAAGTAGTAATGATTTTCTACTTTTGACCCTAATAAAAGATAGCGATCCGAAGCATTGCGTCCCTTCATATATCGGCGCACTTTGCTAGCCAAGTGAAATGTATGCGAAAAGTACATACACACATAGCTACAAGGAGGCGAAGCATAAAAAACCACGTCGCTATAACAAACATAATAGCTCCATTAAATTTACATTACATTTATATACATATGTACATACGTCCATTCTTACATACGTAAAATCGAATATGTATGTAGGTAAATAGTGTAACGACCGAGCCCTGCAAACTCAGCGACTAGTCAATAGTTAACGACAGAGGCCATAAAATAACCAACTAACTGAGTCGAATAATCGAAAATAGACCATACAGTGGGCCATTTTTGCGAATACACATAATTCAATGCTAGACAATAACCCAATTTTTTAAATGAATTAAATGAAACCCTTTTCAGATTCAATGAAACATTATTCAAATTAAATGAAACTTTTTTCAAATTAAATGAATTATTATTTAAAGGTAGTTTCATTTAATTTCAGTTAAGTTTCATTGAATCTGAAAAAGGTTTAATTTAATTTGAAAAATATTTCGCTTTATCTGAAAACTGTTTTTTTAATTTGAAAAAGTTTCGCTTTGTTTGAAAATGGTTTCATTTTATTTGAAAAAATTTTCATTTAAACTGAAAGTGCTATATTATTGCAAGTCTCCTGAAGAGAAACAGAGTTTTTCGATCGAAAAATGTTGATTTTCAAGAATTCTATACCATTTCTACGAAAAAATTGTTTTTTTTTCCTCTTCATAAAAATTGCAAAAGCATGCAATGTTTAACATTTGTTATTTAGTTTCTATTCTTATTTGTCCACATACTTAAATAGATCGAAAGGAATAGAAGAGCTCTTTAGAGGCGGGGACTGTACTCATTCTTTAGCCACATTGAGTCGAGACTTTTTTTGTTGTTTATAAACAAAGATTCTCCAAAATGGTGTTATTCCAGGCTGTATTGCTTCCGAGCTCTATTTTGAATGTTCTCATAAAAAGCAGGTAAAAAACTCTTGAAACGACATATTCAACAATTTACCAAAATCGCCAGTTGCTGGCACCCACAAACATACTCATACATGTTTCAATTATTGTTTAGTGAGCTAAACCTGAACCTTTCTTCTGGTTAAACTCGAAATCAGGAACTATCTATTGTTATAGTATTCAAGCTTTGGTTTCCTTTAAAGCAAAATAAGCCTCTTGAAAAATTTTCACAAAATTTTATATTTGAAAAAATTGGTATATTTAAACGACTTGAACCTGTCCATAAATCTACGTATGTTAGTGATGCTTATTTAGTTACTTTCTTTGAGATTAAAGCTACAGCACCGATGGTTGTAGGCTGAGCTATTTTAGCCGCTGGTTCACTAAGTAACTAGTGTCGCATGTCCGTGGTTCTTAATAGGCCAATATAGGTATTTTCTTGGTCTTCCACTTTTGATTTGTCATAGCACGCCGAGATACTAGCCTTAGGATGAATGCTCTAGCTCCAGCCAATTCGAGAAATCTCTTGTATATTTTCCAATGATCGGGAACCGAGACGAGAGAGATATCTATTGAGTCGGCCGTAGAGCTCAACGCAATGCCAGTGCCAGAAGTTCGGTTGACTTTGCAAGAAAATTTTTGCTTTTTGTACACCTTTGCAGTCTCTTTTCAGTAGGGGTTGACTTCGCTATAATGCACTATTTTATTTTTCTCAAAATATACTAGGTTTTTTTTTATGAAACTGTAAAAGAAAGAAATTCTGTTCAAAAATACTTCTGCCGCTTTTCTTCGGCAACACAAAAAGGAGATCCTAAGCGCCGCCGAAGACCGCTTGCAGAAAGAAGTTGCACACAGAAATACCGTTTTAAATAGAGTGGCTGAAATAGTTCAAGTGATTTCGATCATATAATATTTTTAAATAGAAGCCTCCGCCTGGGGCTGGGGTCTTCACTTTTAGAATGTGAATACAGCCCTCTAACACCCCTCATACTCCGTTTTTTCCGATCAAGAGTGCACTATATCGAAATTTTCCTTTCAGTACTTTATAAGTCCTCTAGATCGCGGTTTCTGCTTTGATTTTGTTAGCAAAGTTAGGTAGGCGGATCATAAGGGAGGCATCCGGCTTCTCTGAGAATACTCGCTCCATTTGGACCCTTTAGCATAAATAACAAAAGAAATGCCTCGAATACCTCAACCCTTTCATTAAAGACACTTAACCTGAAAGGGTTGCTGGAAATCTAGTGTAGGAGGTACATATGTAGTTTGGTAATTTTCATGATTGTAAAAGCTTGTCAAGCATACCACTATGCGCCTGTTGGTTGATTTAGGAGTTCGCTGCAATTTCGCCTGTGTGGAGTTCTATAGGCAATTGATACGGAATCATATAATGTGCAGGTTTTCCAGGGCTGTTCAACATAAGGAAATCCAGTTCAATTTTGCTTGTATTTGACACTAAGGACACTGTAATTTTTTCACAGATTTTTTTTGTTAAAAATAACTACCCACCAAACAATTTCTGTTGCCGGCAATAAGAAAACGTGTCGCCCTCGGAAACAAATTTATTGCCGGTAATATTGCCATCGAACCGATTTCCTATTACCGGTCGCTCTAAAACGTCCGCCGAAGGCAACTCGCATGGGCGAGTCGTTTTCTTATTACCTGAATGAGTCCTTTTCTTATCGCTTCAGGCGATATTTGGAATAATTTTATTCTTTTTAAGGCTTCATTTATTTTTTTGTATACCAAATCGCAACTTACAATCGGAATTAATTCATTTTCTCGCTGTGAGGCTTCCTATTTCTTCAATCTTGTCCTTGGGCATAATTTAGATGCTTTTGGCCAATACTATTGACGCCATATTCATAAGTTTCGGAATTTTTGAGAACTTTTTTATTCAAAATTGTCGTGAACGAAGTGATGTTGCCGATTTGTCACCACAGCAATAAATCGGTGAGTCGCCAATTTGTTGTCATTGACGATTGTTGCCTATTTCTCATGTTTTGCATGGTGGGTACTGTCATCTACTTCCCAACACCGATATAGTCGGTCGGACGGAGTTCACTTACACCCGACCACCTCGCAAGCAAAAGTGTATGAATACAGCTAACATTGCTATAAATACATAGTAGCAAAAGGCATCATTAAACCTTAAAAAAAGCACTAAAAGAGAATATTTAAGAGGCCACAACGACGCCGATCGAGTAGCAAAAACTAACCGCAGCAGAAGGGTATGGCAAAGGAATGCAGCAAAACATACATACATACAATTCGAAGGCACTCAGACTACAATGTTTAAAGAAAAAGCAATAGTAAGATTGAAACAATAACAATACCTAGGTTACTAAAATAACAACAACAACGGTAAAACTAAGGCAATGGCCATAACAAACTGAGCTGAAGGAGCAGCATCGGCAACAGCATCGGGTAGCACAACATCAAAAATGCTTAAGCGACAGAAGGAGGCTCGTCAACACTTTACAGATTTTTTTTATTATTGCAAGCATGTATGTATTTGAACATACATATGTAGTCTATATATAGGCGTACATGCAAGCAGAAACATCATTGTGGGCAAAATAATACTCGTATACTTACTAGTTTTTTCTTTTTTCTTTGTTTTTGTGTAAAATACTTGTGTGAACATTTTTAGTGCTAGCAAACAACTATTTTTTTTTTTTTGTTATGGGTCGGCAATGTTTTAGAAATTCGAAATTGTTTGTTGTTACAAAATAAAAGTAAACACAAGCGATGGGCATGTTTTGTTATTGAGGCATAAGAAAAGAGGCTAGGAGAAAGGGCAAATGAGAAAAAGCAAATTGCGTGACGATAGCTGTGGGTTATGAATAGTAATAGTAAAATGAATAAAAATATGCATTTTTTGCTATGGCAGCATACACAAATATTCGCCAAATAAAACGAAAATTTTAAGAACCATACAATTGTTGACTCTTCATTATACTTAAAAAGGTGCCATAGTGGAAAACAAAAAAAAAGATCAACACTAATTTCCATACAATATATAATTCGAGCCCTAATCGCGAAAATAATGTCAACGACATTTGTTAAAAATTTACTTTTTGAAAAAATTCGGTTACATTACACCAAGGCTGCTTTTGTCATAACATCATTCCGGGCCCCATTTGCATATCGTTTCGCATGGTGTCAAAAGCATTCTAGAACTATACTTCAAAATAGAAAGTGTCTCTATCCAGTATAGGATGGGTAAGGGTACGCCACAAGCTGGTATTCTCTCACCTTTCCTCCGGGTTGTGGTCATTAACGGCTGTTAAGGCAACTAAGAGGGCCTGGAAAAGGATACGGTTCTGAATACTGCTTATGATCTGATAAAAGATAGTTTGAGCTTGCTGAGTAAACGTCCTGTTGGACTCTTCCTAATACTTAGTTAGAAAGAAGTTTGACTATTCACGCAAAAGTTCTTGTCTGACGGAATATGCTTCAGAAGACTTCGTTAGCGCAGAAGCCGGAACCATCCCAAAAGCATAAACAGACGACAGCGTTGTCCCGGATCAACTCGGGAATTAACTGCAGTTG